GGGCCTGAAGCCGAACAGCGGAGAAGGTGAGGGAGAGGGGGCGGGGGAGAAGGGCGACTGGGTGGAGATGGGAGAAAAGGAGGGGGTGCCAGAGCGGGAGCTCCCTAAGGACACGAGCATGGTGGCGGCCTCGCACTCGTCAAAGTCAAAGCGGGACGACAGGTCATGGGGGAGGAGGGAGGGGAGGACCAGGCGGGGTCTGGAGTCTCCTCTGCTGCTGGTCTCACTGCTCTCTCTCGATGTGTCGTCCCACTCAAACTCACTGCTCGCTCTCCCCCGCAGGTCAGGGGTGACGGTCCCTGAGCTGCTGCCTCCTCCTCCTCCTCCTCCTCCTCCCGCTCCCGTCTCCATCTCTTTGCTCCTCATGGACAAGTGTCTTGAGCAGTATCCTCGACGCTGAGACTCCTTCATACAGCCCTCCCTGGAGCATAGCCTCCTCCACTGCTTACCGTTGAACTTCTTACGGATACCATTAGGCGTGCACACCACATCGCCCTTCTTGTACTTCTGCTGAGCCAATGACAGGGGAGTCCTGGAGCGAGAGGAGGTAGAGGAGGACCCCCCACCAGAAGTGGGAGTAGGGGTCTGAGTGGGAGTGGACTTTGATGGAGGTAGGCTTGGAGTGGTGCTGTTGATTTCAGACCCCAGTAAGGCAGGGGAACGGGGTGGCTGGGGACTCGCTAGGCTGGAGAGATGTGGGGGTGCCAGGCCTTGCACCAGAGAGAGGTGGGGTGAGGAGGGGGGGTAGCAGCTGGACTTGGAGACGATGTTTCTGTGCTGAGAGGTCCCAGCGTTCGTCTTGGGGCCGACAGTGAGCGCCATGTTAAAACGAGACACCTCAACGTCCTCCTCTGGAGTGTTCGGCTGGTTCTGTCTCTCTCTGGCAGAGTAGTTCTCTCCGCAGTCATGAATTGTGCTGCCAGCTACACCAGGAGTCACGGTGGAGGAGCGGGATGGTGGGTGTGCGTTTCCGTAGGGCCCTCCTGCAACTCCTTCATGGGAAAAACCATGGCCCAACCTGGCTCCCCCTCCCAGCACCCCCATCCCAATACTCAACTGGCAAACTTCCCTCTCGACCTCCAACTCCTCCCTCCGCTCCCTCTCTTCCCTCTCCCTCTCACGCTCTCTTTCCTGGGCTCTCCCACCATCCCAATGCGGGACCTCCCAGGGAGGGGTGAGCAGCCTAAGACTTTGCCGGGACACCCACACGGCCTGAGAATTGGCATTGGCTCTCCTCTTCTCTTTCTCTTCGCCCACATCTGCATTGTCCAGCGTCTCTCTGTCTTCACTCAGGAGCACCTGGTAAGGAAAAGACACCCCGGGGTGGGGGTCCACCTGAGTGACGACGCCCTCTCTGTACAGCAGGGGACCCCCCTCCTCTCCACCGAAGGGCACGCACACTTGGGTCCTGACAGCCACGGGTGCCATGCCAGGCGGGGGGGCGTCCAAAATGAACTCCACAGTGCTCTTGGCCGCGGATGACGACGTCATCGCGGTGCCACCATGGAAAGGGTATTTAACAAGGGTCTCCTCTCCTTGGAGCTGGACTTCGACAGTGCCTCTACTCACCCTACGCACCAACCCCGGTCTGAACACAGGTGATAAAAGACAGGAGTCAACCTCCTTAACCCCAACCCCTCTCTCCATGGTCCTCTTCATCTGGCGAGCGAGAACTCTCTGGTTTTTCATGCCTTTGGCCAGAGCTTCAGCGAGTCCCTCTGAAAGCGGGGCCTCTTTCTGGTGCGAGTTATGGAGAGGAGCTGGGTAGCGGGAGTTCTTTTGATGAAGGCTCGCTCCTGTTGCTTCCATCCCATCCAGGTCAGCCGAGTGCTCACTCGCTGTGTCAGTGGAGGAAGAGCGCACTGAGTTCGGGGCTCCCTCGGACTCGTTCTCCCCGGCTTGGGAATCTCTTTCCTGGGATTCTGCCGTCCTGAGGTTTTTATCCTCTGTGGAAACAAAGTGGTTTGCTTCTGGAGCTTTGCTATCCACAATTAGCACTGATGGCTGATTACCTGAGCAATTATTACTTCTGCTATTACTGCTGTTGATAAGAGTATTATGGCTACCGTCACTACGGTTAGCCATGTTGTTAATACCACTAGTAGTGTTACTTTTAGTACTACTATTTGTACTAAAATGAATGCTGTTGTTAGTGCTTTTACTAATATTGTTACTACTCTTGAAATTATTATTGGGTGTATTCAAACTATCGCTGATTCTGCTGTGAATATTGCAGTAACTGTTGTGTATGAGTGCAGGGCTGGAGGTAGTAATGGTAGTCAGGCTACTTGCATTGTTTGCAAAGTGCTCATATGTGTATTTTTTCTTGGGTACACGAGCCTTAAATGTGGCTGTTTTCCTGCTAGAGACGGAGCCTAAACTGGGGCTATGATTGGTGGTCGAAGGGGGCGTGGCTGTGGAGAGTGGCGTTGGGGTCGAGGTAGGAAATGCTACAATATCAGTGGACACTGCCTTATTTCCATTCGTGCCCACTGTCTTTCCCTTTTCTGTCTTTTCTTCTGCCTCTTTGTCTTCCCTCTCGACTGACTCCACAGGTTTCCGCGGCTCAGTGGACTCCTCCCTCGCGGGGGTATTGCTGCTCGTGATCGGCTCTTCGTTGGAGCTGACGGCCGTGTGCGAGATCTGCTTGCTTGTGGGAGTGCTGGGTGTCTGCTGTGTGGTTCTGACGAGCGTTTCCCTCTTGACTCTTTTGGGGTCTTTCTCTTGAAGGGGCTGAGAGCCCCCTCTCCTTCTCCCCCCTCTACCTCTGGTTAACGGGGGAGTGCGCCCTCTGTGTTTCTTTAATGGTCTCATCTCGTCTTCGCTGTTCACAAAGTGCAGATTTTGTGGGGTTTCACTTCTAAGGCACTCCTTTTTTCCCGTCTTTCTCTGTTTTCCTTGTCTCCCGTCCTTCTGTCCTCTGTATTGCAAGCTGGAAAGGAAGAGGGAGACACAGAAGACAGGGGGTCATTTATTATCTTCATAATCAAAAATTGCTGAGAATAAAAGTGACGTCATACCTGGAAGTGTGCTACACTGCACTGGCTATCACATTGGCTCTCGTTTACCCTCCATTTCTTCCTGATCCACTAAAGTGTGCATGCAAGCGTGTCTGCGTGTGATACTTGAAATAATAAAAATCTTAATTTCCCAGATTATTCTGGCCAAGTATGTCCGAGATCTGGTTAACCTTGTGTGATCATGAAATCACTTAGTGGGTTAGTGTACTCTCTTAAAATAGAGTTCAGTTAAAAAAAAAAAAAAAAAAAAAAAAAAAAGTAAAATTCGAGCCAAAAGAAAGAAATGTAAACAAACATCCAAGGTCACTCACTTCATTTGTCTCTTACTCCTGAATCCAACTATCTGTCGTTAATGAGGCCTACACTTATTTAATTTAAAATGCAGGCAGAGACAAAACTGATTTTCTCTCGGTCTCACACACACACACACCTCCCCACTGTACTCCCTCCAGCTACTTCGACATGCGACAGGGTAGCTTTCTCACGCTGTGCATTATAGACTGGATTCTCCGTGTTCGATGTCGGATCGCATCAACAACACACCATTTATTTTGACTTCCATCGGGAGGAAAAGGGCTGGTAGTGGCCTGGGTGAGGTCACCCTACAACGTGAATGAGAGAAAGAGAAAGAGAGAGAGAGAGAGAGGTGGGAGTATGCGGCTGTTTGGCTGTTTGTTCAAATAGGCCGTTCTTGTGTAGTCATTGGGAATTTCCACAGTCATTCTAGCACTCGCTGGCCCTCTCTCACTCACTCTCAATGTCTCAGTCGTCTTTCGTCATTGGCTCTATCTCTCTCTCTCTCTC